ATTTCCGTCTCCCCAGATGAGGAATTCTGGTTGGAAATGATGTCACTTTGGCCTGTCAGAAACACAACGACTGGCTGAGACGCTATTACGATTATCCCCGTTATAGCGCCTGTACTGTATAACCGGACAGTTTGGTAAGGCTCGACCGCAGCAGATACTATCGTGTCCGGCCCGTAGGTTATTCCATTATAGTCCACTGTGCCACTGGAGGAGGGAAGCGCCATTGCGAATGTTGTCGTCTCGTTTGTCGAGGAAGTAACCCCTGCAATAGTGTACATGGGGGTGGGTGCAGATGATGAAGCTTGTTCAAATACATTTATTGTTTCTAACTATCCCCGCCATATTTTTTTATTTTTTTCAAACACTGTTCTCAAACAAAATAATTCTAATCAAATTTCGATTTTGTACCTGATTCCGACTTTTTCATCTCGAGCAGCAGGGGCGACAATTATCCTTGTATTTCCAGTGTACTGTACCTCCATTAAATGACGATAGATATCCTGTATTCATTTTGCTACCATAGCTTCGTTTGGACCCCTATTCGAATGACACGATTCTAAAATAGCTATCCAATCAAACAACACCCAGGAGCGAAGAAATTCTGTCTTAAGTCAGTTTTGTTTGTTGGGATACGATGACATGCATCAACCAAGTCAGCGAGCCTGACCACCCGATCCCATTAGTCGCCTCTTACGACAAGCATAGTCGCCTTTTACGGTAAGCATGGGTCGCTGAAGACCTATTCTACCCCGGATCTTCACGGGTCCACGCAACTGGGATACGATGACATGTATTAGTCAAGTCAGCGAGCCTGACCACCCGATCCCATTAGTCGCCTCTACGACAAGCATAGTCGCCTCTTACGGTAAACATGGGTCGCTGAAGACCTATTCTACCTCGGATCTTCACGGGTCCACCCAATTGGGATACGATAACATGCATCTACCAAGTCAGCGAGCCTGGCCACCCGATCCCATAAGTCGCCTCTTATGACAAGCATAGTCGCCTCTTACGGTAAGCATGGGTCGCTGAAGACCTATTCTACCCCGGATGTAGGTATCACAATTGTGTGGATGGATGCTCATGATGTCAATCACTGGAGTGTCCTGTCCAGACTCGGTTATTTACAGACCGCCGTCATATAGCTGGAATATTGCTGAGTGCGGCGTTAAACAACGAACAAACGAAACTGTCCATTCTGAATGCTCATTTTAGCAACTCTACTGATTGACACGAATAAGGGAACAATGAAGCATACAGGGTAATAAGCTTTACTGTCAATAGATTTGAAGCACCGCGCATACAAATTCACATGTCAGAATCAAATGTTGAGATGTGTTTGTGTGCATTGTTTCCAACGCGTATTTTTATATTCATTTCCATCAGTATATAGTTTGCAAAATTATAGAGAAATCATGTTTCAAGTATAACATGGTTTTAAGTCAGAGAAGTTATTCTAATCTGTTGATTCCAGAAGCAAAGTCATTTTGCACCGTCGGGCACGTTATTCCTACTCCCTAAATCACCAAATTGTTATGCTTTCTCCATTTCAGAAATTAAAAAAACACTATAATTATCTCTCCTTATCCAATCAATTAATTTTATAAAAGTCAACGTGTAAAGATGTAGATAAAAGTACCTATAGTGAGGTTGTTCCTCTCCGGCATATAGTAGATTGTACTCAGTGCCTTGACTGGGAACAGAAGAATGCATTCCGTGCGCGCAGCCGGTCCTTCAAATAGGGCGGTAAGAGTTACCTCCCCTGTACTTGTCACTTCAACCAAACCTTCGCTTGAACTTGTCGAATTTGTTTTGGGCAAGACAACTGTTGAAGGTGTTCTGAACACAACAGTTTCCTACAACAAGAGAAAAAAACACACTTTTTTTGCCACTTTCTAATATTTCACTAGAGGTGTGTCGTGAAGAACTGACCTGTCACTTTCAATAATTATTGAAACAGTGATGTTTAATATATTTTAATATGTGGAATAACATTAAGAACAAAACACTAGGGTGCAGTATTTTGTGCACCAGCTCTTATTCATATTTAATCCTAACAGTCATGTCGCTTCACTTTCCATCTGATTTTAGTCTAAATTGTTTGTTTGTTTTCCTTGTTTGTTGTTGACGACGCAGTCGGTAATATTTTTTTCCAGCTAACTGGAGATAGTATAACCTGTATTATTTCTCCATGGACGCTGATGTTGACGTTGACCAATGTTGACGAAGTTGTCGTGAGTGTCAACGTTGTGTTCACGGCGTCGTCGAACACCCCCATGTTGGGGAACACGAACCGCGTCCCTGCGCTCCCCACATAACCGCCTACAGAATAATGCATTTTGAAACAAAATTAGTTTGGATTTTTGTGTTTCTGTATTGCAAAGACAAATATCATCCGTTTGTAAAAAGTTGTGTCTCTCGTCAGGATCCGCTTGCTGCTTGGTTCGAACGCAAACTGGACCTAAACGGGAACTGAATCTATTTCAATTTCAGTGTACACCTCTGGACAGTAACTTCTTTAATAAATTTAGTTCCTCTTTAAGTATAGTAAAGAAGTTGTTATCCATAAATTGTGTCTACTTCGTCATCCGTCAACTTCTAAGAAATTCAAACAATTCATTAATTTTCAAATTCATCACAGACATCCATTGGTTTTAATAATAAACCATTTTAGAAAAACCGATATTCCATATTCTTTCATATAAATGTAAGACTAAGGCCCTACTCACCATCTAACTGTTGAACACTGGCTAGTAACAGAATGGTCAATACGAACTGCTTCATGTCGCTATGCTAACTGATACATACCTATTTCATATTCTGTGTTTTGTCAGTGGTCATGCCGTTATACATGTTATTATTTGCCAGATTATTAACATACCGCGACGTTAACACTCAAACATATTACACAAAACAAACACACATTGATAGTTTTATATTCAATACACTCTACGACGTGCTAACAGCCTTCTATTACAATGTGTCGGAAACAATACTGCGAATACGTCATCATTCTTACAGTGTACAACATTATTCCCTCACATCTCCTTGAGCACAGGGGGCAAAGGATTGCTCCACTGTGCAAATACAGCCACCTGCTATGTATGTACATAACACGCACTTCGATATCATTTGTGTAGCTACACTTGGACCTACACATAACAAATATTTTGGGTCAAGCACAGCGATCAAAAAATAAGATATCCGGGCGGATTTTTTTACAAGATAAGGGACTGGTCATTTATTAGTTTGTGTGTGCGTGCGTGTGCGCGTGCGTGCGTGTGTGTTTGTGCGCGCGAGCGGTGAGATTAAGGGCGTTCCATGTATTTGGGGGTCATGATATATTTTACACGTATTACTTCGATGGTCATGTAAAAATGTTGCATGTATTTGGGGGTAATGAAGATATGGTACATGTGTTTGGGGGTCATGAAAATATGTTACAAGTATTTGGGGGTCATGAAAATATGTTAGGGGAGGGAAGGGGGATCAGGGAAAAGAAATGTGACATAAATATAAGACCAGTGCCCTCAACCTAGCGGAGGTAACTTTGTGGAACGTGATCGATGCGACAGGGAGCATGCCAATCCGGGACAGAATAGATCTCAGTCAATCAAACAAAAGGGAAGGGGACTGGGTAGTTATAGGGGTGTCGGGGTCGCGGCCGGCCCTGTCGCAGCAGTCCGCCGTGTATGATCCACTATAATAGCTAGTGGTGGGTTCGAATCCCAGGTTTGCTTTGATCATGATCCCTGGTCTGTCAGCACCAAACGTCCTCGTGGGTTTCACCAAAGTGGTACACGTCTGAGACCCGCATTACTCCGGGATTTCCTCCCACATCAAGCTGACACGCCTTGATATAACTGGAACATTGTTCAAAGCGGCGTTAAACCCAACTCACACACTCACTGTTCAGACCGCCTCCGTGGTCTAGTGGTAGAGCGTCCGCCCGGCCGCGTCATACCAAAAGACGTTAAAAGATGGTACTTGTTGTTACCCTGTCTGGGGCTCGGCATTAAGGGGCTAAAGCAAGGACTGGTCGGCTCGGAGTCAGTATACTGTGTCTGAGTGGGGTATTCATGTTAAACTGCGGCATGGTATCTCAGTGAGCTAGCACTATAAATCGGCATCAGTCCGGACTAGTACAAGCAGCCACACAAACACATGCACGTTGCTATATAAGTGCAATAATCTTGGACGCGACGTTAAACCCAATTTCACCTCACCTCACCTCACCTCACCTCACCTCACCTCACCTCACCTCACCTCTCCTCACTAACTGTTCAGAGCGTGACCCCGCTGATCAATGTGTGTGTTGTCATACCTGGCTGGCCTGGAGTGAACATTATCAATATTGTTATCAAACACTTGATACTTTATAGGTGTTATTGTGCGACTAATTCCAACAAACAGCTCGAGACTAGCAATGACAAAGCGAGACTGACAGCGAGACCGTTGCACACGTCTTCCCAGAACGCCTGCGAATGTGTTCATAATTAGTTCACGAAACCGGTTTAACAAGTAAAGTTTTTCAACCGCATGTACAGCAGCAAAGCCTTTCCCTATCACAGCTGCAACAAGTTGCTTATGCTGTCTATAATCGTTACAATTAAGATGTTCTTACGACTCAACGTGCATGCTTTACAATGTTACTTAGAATCGCACAGGAGAACACACACGACTCTGTTATGAATCTTATTTGCACCCGTTTACATGCTATACAAATAACAGACTGAGTCATACTGCATATCTTAAAGTGCACAGGTGTGGCGACATTTCGAGAGGGCAAAGGTAATGTCTATATATATATATATGAATAAACGTAATGTTTGTTACTTAGTGTTCTTTTTTCTTTTTGCTTCTTGAAATTAATACATTATGTATGAAATATATTTCAAAATATATTCGTCGGTGTATTTTTTAAACTATTGGAACAGTTGCTTCAGAATCTGTTTCTTTTATCTACGACTGTGACGTAAGATCTATATATAAACATTTAGGTTAGGTTTGGGCCAGGCAACCCTCACTGCGTCGTGATTTTATTTCGGATGTATACTGTTTTGTTTCAGTGTGTGAAAGTTTAGGGCTACGAATTATCACAGTGGAGTCTCAAACGATATGCCGATGTGATCGTGGATTTCAGCTGCATTAGATAAGATAAGGTAGAGTGTTATGTGAGTCAGTCGATATGAGACATCAAATGAATGACATTTTTAATAATGGCCGCCCCTGCATGACAGGTGCTTTAGGTAAAGAAATACAAAAAGACCCGAGTCTCCTTTCAAGGAAACCATTGGTATGTTGTCATTTAGAGATGCTCGATTGCTTTTATGTTTAGAATGTAAAACAAACTGCTTGTAATTTTAGCCAAAGTTTCATTTTGTACATTTATAGAAACATGTTGAAATCCACACGGATAGTGTCCTCATTCGTCGTGGTATAATTTCCCCTTCGATGTCGTCCGGGGGCTCGTTAATCCCCTTGAGCAAGTTAGGGAGTTGAGTTGAACGTCGTTTTGAACAATATCCTACTACGGCGTGTCAGGAGGAAAGCCTAAAGTAGTGCAGGTGCAGGGGTGGTGGTGGGTCTTCCGTGTCTTTCTGTGGTGTGTGTGTGTCTGTGTGAGTGAGTGTGTCTGTGGGGTGTGTGCGTGATGGGTATGTGTCTGTGTGTGTTACTCCCACATACGCACTCACACACACACATACCCGCGCACACCACTCAGACAGACACTCAGACACCCACACATCATCACAGACACACAGCACAGACGTGCACACACCAAGCACACAGAGACACACCACACATATCACAGAAACACACACCACACAGACGCAAACACAACACAGACACACAGTCACATTCTCAACCACGTAGACACACACACAACAAACAGCCCAAACCCCCGATACACACGCGCGCACGTAGAGTAGACACTCACACCACACACATACACACACAGCCACACTCACACCACACAGACCACACACACACGCTCACACCACACACATACACACACACCACAGACCACACACGTAGACACACACACCACAAGATAGACAAACACCCCCGATGCACGCACACGTAGACACACTCACACCACACATACCACACACAGACACACTCACACCACTAAGACACACACAACACACATATACCCACACAGAGGCACACGCCACACAGAGACACACGGGCACCACAAACAGACACAAACCGCCCCCACCCCCACCCCCGACCCACACACGTAGACACACACACACACACACCACAGACACACGACACACACACGCGCACACACAGATACAAGGACACCCACGCACACATTCACACAACACAGACACATTCACACGCGCGCGCGCTCACACGCACGCACGCACGCACGCACGCACGCACACACACACACACACACACACACACACACACACACACACACACACACACACACACACACAAACACACACACATACTCCACTTTGACCGGTACCGTCCAGATCAACGGGGATTCAACACGAACAGTACCCCCAGCCCGACGTGGAAACAATAGTTAATCTAATCTTCTTTTAAACCTTTTCTCTAACTTATTATCTCCATTTGGCGTCAACTGAATATTTGTTTGTTTTTTTTCGTAGGTTTTATGATAGTGGTGCATGAGTTAGTCCAAGATGAGTGATGTTTATATGTCAGTACATCGTCTCCTACACAATGGCGTGTTCGTGGTGTTCACAGCAGCCCTTGTTGCAGCGGGTACCGAGGTAAGTTCATGGATGGTCTGATGTAACTTATCTTAAAGGTGCAAGAGTTATACATGTCAGAGACCATATAATAATCCACTGTTTGACCCTCATGTGGAGCAGGTCGTTGGCCCTAACAACCAGGCGAAACCTAGAAGTACGGGTATGGTCAATATTATAACTCTTAATTCGTTTTCTTAATCCTGCGAAACATTTATCCATCATGTATGTATTCGACCATGACATTTTAGAATCCTGCATTCTGATTCGTCCGCCGGCGGTATCGAATCGAGATATAAACCTTCTGTTTTGAAATTTAAGGTAGTCAAACACTGAACTTTAGATAAGATTCCTCCCAAAGGTTATAATAGTCTTCACAAAATAAACAAAATAAAAAAACAATTGCTAAAAGAATTCGCATCGCATCGCAACCTGTTACACATTTGCACTGCATGGACTCTTCCAAGTCGTTCCTTGGAAATCAACGAGACTTCTTCCAGGGGTGATAGGTTGTAGAAATCGTGACGGCAAACAAAATGCTGATCTCGTATATTACTCAAATAACGTATAAAATCGCCGTTTTGGGGTTAGTCTGTACTTATGGTCCAATTGGTTTAAAATAACGCCCCAGGACACTTCTATTTATTCGGAATGACTATCTCTCCACCCCGAACTTCGATACACTGTCCCTGTTCTATTTCCGTTCATCTTCACTGACCATGGATGCCATAATAATTGTTCTCGAACGCAGTGCCACTGGTTAGATCACTTTTTCACTGTATGCCTCTATATTTTGCCAGATAGTTTTAGTTTCAAATTGGCATACCACGTGTGACCAGAATTACTTCCAGATCAGTGCCCTGGCAATCGACAGGTTGGAGATTGTATCCGTAAGATTGAGCTTTGATTCTAAAGTAGGTATCACCTGCTTCATGAGCCATTAGCAGATAATTAGATCTCATCAGTGGAAGTTTCTGGCGGCCGCCAGATAAAATATAGAGGCATACAGTGAAAAATGATCTCATCAGTCGAAGTTTCTGGCGGCCGCCAGATAAAATATAGAGGCATACAGTGAAAAATGATCTCATCAGTGGAAGTTTCTGGCGGCCGCCAGATAAAATATAGAGGCATACAGTGAAAAATGATCTCACCAGTGGCGAGTATGGGCCACCGTATTTTTGAAACCAGAGGACATTCCCGAAATGTAGTTCTATGTTCCAAAATAACCTTATGATTGTCCAGAGGAAATGAGCCAGTGGGCACAACCCTTGCCAATGGAACTGCCCTGAAGACAAGTATGTGAGAACACCGTCGTTTGTTTAGCTGAAGACGAGCGACAGGAGAGACTGGTCAGTTTTGTGACACAGTGTTGGGTGTATGTTTTACTAATTATGTGTTCTGATTGAAAAAGACATCTGATAATGTTCCAATACCGAACGTGTACAGTATTATTCGGCAGTTATTATGCACCGATATATGCAGGTTGTAGGTGGAGCGATGTATTCAGGCGCAAGTTTTTGTGTGAAACGGCTTGTTAGATTTAAGGTACTTTAAGGATTGGTCTATTGGCTAAACCCAAAAGGGGCCTCAGCCAAAGGCAGTATAGGGGCGATAACTCTTGTTAGCAAGCTGCTGAGATCGAACACCTGTCACGGCCAGACATAAAGACATATCTCTGTCTTAACACCACAGCATTCTTCTGTAGCATTTAGTAGAATTTGAAGATGGTGTTAAAATGTAGAGCTATGTTCTGTAGATTTAACCGTACTAAATTGAATTTGGAACCAAAGAATCAGCTAAGGTTCAAATGTTAAGTTTATTGCGATAATTCTGCCATGAAACACAACGGTCTTTGGTGTTAGGGAAGATGTTAAGCAAGTCTTGCAAGACTGTTGCATACCTCACACCACAATATTGACGTCAAACTGCTCATTATGACGCAGATGATATGACGTCACAGTCGGATATGGAAGGTGATAATTGCCAAATTCCAAGCTCACTGTTGTCCAAGACTAAAAATACTCTTTCAGTCAATATCTGTTTTCTTTCCAACATCTATTGCCACACGTACTTTGACTATGGGATTTCGGGGTAGAATAGGTCTTCAGCAATCCATGCTTGCTGTAAAAGGTGACTCTGCTTGTCGTAAAAGGTGACTAACGGGATCGGATGGTCAGGCTTTGCTGACTTGGTTGATGCATGTCATCGATCCCAATTGCATGGATCAATGCTCATATCAATCACTGGATTGTCTGGTCCAGGCTTGATTATTTACAGCCCGTCGTCATATAGCTGGAATATTGCTGAGTGCGGCATTAAATAACAAACCAACCAACCAACATTGACTATGGTAGTGACTGAAATTCATTCAGCATTTTGTAACCAATGATTGTAGATATAATTATTTCAAAACGCCTTCTGACTTTGATTGAGAATGAAGTTCTTTTATTAATAATAGGTTCTGCAGTGATCGACAGTATCTGTCAGAGGTGGTTTTTGTGATTTGAAACCTCTGAATGACCAATCAGAATTGTGTATGTTTCATATTCAATGTAGAAAACAAAGTAGGTTTATCTCCCAGTTGTGCCTCATTGTCATAGTTGTGTTTATTCAATAAACACTATTTTTTCATTTTGCAATAGATAACTCACCATGAGGTGCGTAATGGCGTGAGCAAGTACATTTTTCAAAATGGAACACGTCGTAATTGCATGCCGATCTTACCACCTGAATACTGTGCTGAAGGTTTGTACAATTTTATAGTTCAGACTTGATAACACCGATTCTTTCTACCGAGGTTTATGCGACACATAAATGTTGAGAATGGACACACGAAAAAGAATATGCTACATCCCGAGGGATGCACAATAATATTCTTTGGACCGACAGCGCATCATGAGCAGTTACGGGCGTCTGTCATTTCATCCATCAATCATGACCACAGTCCACATGATCATTGATTCATTCCAGACTCTCAACTAATTATCTAGACATACAGTTCACTATCCAGTTCATTATTTTACAGGGGGCGGTCGGGTAGCCTAGTGGTTAAAGCGTTCGCTCGTCACGCCGAAGACCCGGGTTCGATTCCCGACATGGGTACAATGTGTGAAGCCCATTTCTGGTGTCCCCCGCCGTGATATTGCTGGAATATTGCTAAAAGCGGCGTAAAACCATACTCACTCACTCACTCTCATTATTTTACAGGACCCTCATATTGCCTGCAAGGAGATTGACGCTTAAAAAATTATTTTTGGGGTTCCCCTGAATGTGAATTCTTCTTTGCCACAATCTCATTAAAATCAGATTTTACGGAAGGACCAGGGTTCGATCCCCGGCTGCGTCATGCCAAAAGACGTTTAAAGATGGTACTTGTTGTTACCCTGTCTGGCGCTTGGCATTAAGGGGCTAAAACAAGGACTGGTCGGCTCGGAGTCAGTATACTGTGTCTGAGTGGGGTATTCATGTTAAACTGCGGCATGGTATCTCAGTGTGCCAGCACTATAAATCGGCATCAGTCCGGACTAGTACAAGCATCCACACAAACACGTGCATGCATGTCGCTATGTAAGTGCAATAATCTTGGACGCGACGTTAAACCCCATTTCACTTCACCTAAAATCAGAATTTAGTTCTCGCTACCACTACCGTCTTTGCCATGGATATGTCGTTATTCAGATATTTCTTACCTTCATCATACAGACAACCAGATAGAGCCTTGTTTCCATGACAACGACAAAGATCGTTGTGTGCCTTGTAGAAAAGGGGAGGAACAATTAGACAGAACACACTCCGACTTCCGGTCTGCATGTTATATCATCCACTGCCCAGAGGGTAAGAATTGATATGTTCTCTAATCTTGAAATTTATTATCCCCCACCAGGAAGTGCAATGGGGATGTAGAAATGGATGCTGTCTGTCCGTCCTTCCATCCTGACTTTCCATCCATCCATCCCATCATGCAGCCCTGGATGCAGAACAAAAGAACACTTCACAAGAACACTAAAGATTTAGTCTCCAGGAAAAATCGACAAATTACAGTGACAAAACAGATAGCTCATTATATATCATTCTCATATCACAGTTATACAAATGTGCTTGACAATATTTAGTGAGACAAGAACCTTCACTGCTCCTTGGTGAGAGAAAGGAATATATCTGCATCAGTATCTGGAAGAAATGTCTCTCAGTTGTAATGTTGAAAATCTTTTTAAAAAATGTACTAGCACAATTTTTCATTAAACATTAAGATCTACACATTTTAGTTTGTGTAGGTTTTAAACATTCAAATATTTCAAGGGTTGATGGGGGGCGGTGGGGTAGCCTGGTGGTTATAACGTTCGCTCTTCATGCCGAAGACCCTGGTTTGATTCCCAACGTGGGTACAATGTGTGAAACCCATTTATTGTGTCCCCTGCCATGATATTGCTGGAATATTGCTAAAAGTGGCATAAAAACCTTACTCACTTGCTCAAGGGTCGATGGGGTAGCCTAATGGTTAAAGCGTTGACTGGCTTACTGAGGTCCCTTGGTTGTTTCTCGATATGGGTACAATGTGTGAAGCCCATTTCTAGTGTCCCCTGCTGTGATATTGCTGGAACGTTGCTATCACTGGCATAAAACCATTCTGACTCACTCACTCTGATATTTCAGGTACCATCCCGGCCAAGCGGAACCCAGTATCAGGCTGCAACTGGCCATGTAGGTGTGAGAGTGAGAGGATGGTGATGAACGAACTCTGCAGCTGCCAGGATGTCAAGGTCCAGTGTGGAAAGAACACCTACCTCAAAGATGGTAAGTCTGTTGTAAATGCTGAAGGTGACAAGGATGCCCAGTGTGGTAAGGCTGTGCAGGTTTACCTCCCTTATTCTTACCAGTGTTCCTAGGCTGTGCAGGGTTACCTCCCTTAGTCATACCAGTGTACCTAGGCTGTGCAGGGTTACCTCCCTTAGTCATACCAGTGCTCCTAGGCTGTGCAGGTTTACCTCCCTTAGTCATACCAGTGTTCCTAGGCTGTGCAGGGTTACCTCCCTTAGTCATACCAGTGCTCCTAGGCTGTGGAGGGTTACCTCCCTTAGTCATAACAGTGCTCCTAGGCTGTTCAGGGTTGCCTCCCTTAGTCATACCAGTGCTCCAAGGCTGTTCAGGGTTGCCTCCCTAAGTCATACCAGTGCTCCTAGGCTGTGCAGGGTAACCTCCCTTGGTCATATTATTGTTCCAAGGCTGTGCAGGGTTACCTCCCTTAATTATACCATTGCTCCAAGGCTGTGCAGTGTCTAAAGAAAAATGGCCTCAAAATTTGTTCTTGACCCTAACAAAACTGTCAACATGTATAATTATGGGAATACAGACCTGATTTCTGTGGGTTTGAATCCCATTTACCGGTAACATTGTCCTTAACCAATCAACTTGTGACACATTTCACAATTTACTTTCAGGTGTCTGTTTACCATGTCCGGCAGGGACCTACAAACCTGGGCATGGCACTGGCCCCTGTATCAGCAAGATGTCTCCCTCCACCCAGTGAGTTGTTGTGTAGTGTTGTAGTCTGCACCCAAGTTTATCAGATGTTGTCTACTGACCATGCTGACTAATTCTCTTTGTAATTATCCATTAAATATTTACTAACATCAAGGCAAATAGTTCATCCATATCTGAAAGGGGATGTTTTTTTGTTCTGTTTCAGTTTATTCTGCATATATGCCCATCGAACAGTTGCAATATGTCAGCTGGCTGATTATCTGTCATTGTACCCGGATGTGACAATGACTGCTCATGCTATCACCACTGTTTTGTCTGGTCCACATTTTACATAGCTGTGACAGAGCTCTTCACATGGTGACTGCAACACATGGATTTATCTAGACCTGCTCAGAGGCCGATATTCGGCAAAAGACTGCAGCAGATATCAGTAAATATTCCAAAACTGGAATTAAGCATTTCCCAGTTAATGTTATGGCTAAGTAGAGTTCTCTTGTATTTCATTGATAACAGGATGAATATACAGGAAGAGGCTTCAATGATTAGTTATACACTATATCATTGAATGCAATGTTAAAATGCAAAGTTACAATACCTCTGAATTTGTGAAAAAAAAATGGAAGCAATCAGATCCCGAATGGTGGCCTAGGAATATTGACCCACTCTTCCTGCAGTGCTTGTGCCAACTGTCAGAGGTTCTGTGGTTGTTGCTGACGTCCTTGCAGTCATTGATCCAGTGCATCCCATTAATGTTAGATTGGGTTTAAATCCGGAGACCTGGATGTTGTTACAGTGATCGCTCGCTATTGCGCTCTTCAAAAAAGGCTGTTTCCATCCTTGCCGTTTGAGGTTGGGCATTGTCTTATTGGAAAATGACGTTCACTTGTTGCATAATGGAAAGGACATGTACCCGAAAGAATCTCATCCATGTAACGTTGTGCCGTTAGATTTCCACAAGGTCTGTTCTACCAGTGTAGGAGAATGTTGCCCACATCACCACGCTACCACCACCAAATCTGTCTACATCCTGTATGCAGATTCGTGCATGACATTCCGGGCAACGCCTGTAAAAATGATGTCTACTATCCGCAGGGCGAAGAATAAAACGTGACTCACTGAACCAAACTTGGCTCCATCGCATTTGGGGTCATACTCTGTGACCTTGACACTATTGACATTGCAGTCGATTATGTAGGTCTGTCAAGATGACACCTCAATCTGGTCTACCTTCAGCACGTAAACAATTCCTCACTGTTTGAGCTTATTTCCTTCGCAATCCTGGTATTGACACTGTTGACACTGTTCTATCACGGAAGTGACAAAGCTATACGAATCTGTCCTGTGCTCTAGTTGTGATATGTGGTCGATGTATCATGGAAAGGTCAAATGTCCCATGTGTTTGATAATGGTTGCACAGTCTTGTAATCGTGCTGAGTGCTACGTGGAAAAACCTGGCTGCGGCCAAAGATGATTCTCCTATATGCAGTCGGCCAGTGGCATTGTTGCATTCCGTCAGTCGTGGTATGTTTTCACTGTTCCCTTGCTGTAAGCATGCAAATGAAAACCTCTTATGATATATAATACTCAATTCGTATCGCGATCCTAGTTTTGTAATTAGCCCTATCACTGCGCGTATGAATATCTTGTCAGCGATCACCATCATGGCGAGTAATCATGAATGGCAATCAACTGTTGTTGTGTCATACCAGTGCATAGAGCAGTAGACAGAACATAACCTGATGTTGCTGGTGCATGTCATGTTGGTGTGTTTTGGCGCCTGACCCTCACGGGGTTGTGTTTTTGTGATTTCTCCATCTTTTTCCACACAAATCAATCCCAATCCATGCAGAAATGACCAGTTCATTTTGGTTTTATTCACTGTTCGATAAGGAAGAGAATTTATGGATGTCACCTTTGTAATTATGAGGATCACAACGTTATGGAGTACATACTTACTCCTTCATCACCATTCCATTATATTCCGAAGTGTTGTGTTCCTCATTATGACATCCTTAAATTCTCTTCCTTATGTGCATCACTTCTAAATGCCTTTCAAAGTCTTGAGTCTGTCAGATATTTAAAATTTTACTACTTTTGCTTTTTTTTTTTGTGCAGGGGCGGTCGGGTAGCCTAGTGGTTAAAGCGTTCGCTTGTCACGCCGAAGACCCAGGTTCGATTCACGACATGGGTACAATGTGTGAAGCCCATTCCTGGTGTCCCCTGCCGTGATATTGCTGGAATATTGCAAAAAGCAGTGTAAAACCATACTCACTCACTCACTCACTCACTCACTCACTCACTCACTCACTCACTCTTTTTGTGCAGGGTATAGAATGAATATGTTAATGTGATTTGTGCAAATTTCAGAGGAATAATACAGTTATACTCTGTACATACAATGTTTCTTGTTGACATTGCAGACCCCCAATGCACCATCCCACAACATCGCCAGCATCTCAAATAAATACTACACTTGGTGCAAAAGGGAATCTGACAAGGAAAGTCACAGGTTAGTCATTTTTACCATATGGATATTATTGTAGGGATTAAATCCCCAGTATAACAATCAAGTCATAGCAGGCAACTGGCATGGGGCTTGGCTGGCAACTGTAAATGCCAGTCCAATAACCAAAACCAACCGCTGTAGACACTTGCTTCTTTTATTCTTCCTTAGCTTAACACCATTCACACAAAAACAACCTGTCACCCTGGCCGGCACATGCTCACTCACTTTCTCACAACACGAGATTTTCCCAGCAGCCCCACTTCCGACATGCGCAGTGGGACTAGCTTAGCAGACGATATATCAACAGCTCAAGGTGGCTCATGGTCTGCAGAGGGAACTCCCAGTGGGGATTCTGTGTTAGAACATGTCCCCAGCAACCTGTGCTGGTTTCCCCATGGGGATTCCAGGTTAGAATAGGTCTCCACTAACCTGTGCTTGTCTCCCTTTGGGGATTCCGGGTTAGAATAGGTCTCCACTAACCTATGCTTGTCTCCCTGTGGGGATTCCAGGTTAGAATAGGTCTCCACTAACCTGTGCTTGTCTCCCTGTGGGGATTCCAGGTTAGAATAGGTCTCCACTAACCTGTGCTTGTCTCCCCATGGGGATTCCAGGTTAGAATAGGTCCCCAGTTACCTATGCTTGTCTCCCAGTGGGGATTCCAGGTTAGAATAGGTCCCCAGTTACCTATGCTTGTCTCCCTGTGGGGATTCCAGGTTAGAATAGGTCCCCAGTTACCTATGCGTGTCTCCCCGTGGGGATTCTGGATTAGAATAGGTCCCAAGCAACCTGTGCTGGTGCCTTTTGCTATTAAAGAATGTTTCTGAATTTGATTTTTCCCAGCTGAAACGGAGTCTTTTCCTGAGCAGAACTTTAAAACTATTTTACATTATTCATCCAAACATGGTACATATATTAATCAGGGGCCTAAGTGCCTTTTGCTATTCAGGAATTTTGCAAAAAAATAATTTAATTTCCTGTTTCCATGGCAACAACTTTAACTTTGCCTCTGTTCACAGTGGTATGTTTGTCCTGACCATATCTCTAAAACTAACAGGTACTCTTTCTTGAAACTGTGCACTCACAAAGACCAGGTTGTCAACTGGTGCCCTTTGCTATTTAGGGATTTTTAGAATTGATATTGTTTTCATTTCCATGGCCACAAGTTTGACTTTAACTCTGTACATATTGGTGTGTACTTGACATAGTCTGAATCCCCAATTCCATGGTATTTTTTTAATAGCTCAATTACTATGCTTGTAGATTAAATAGAAATTTCCTCAATTGGACTTAAAGTAGCAGTCAGATGATTTGTTCTTCAGAATTTGTAGGGCCAGGGGGATTTGTCATCTTCTGACTCTTGTTTTCTTTTGCAGGAACAAATATGACTGATGGTGGCATTGAGGCAGAAGAGAAGCCTCCAAAAAATGGGTTGGTGTCAATTTTTATCTCTCCGGTTTGAAAAACAGGGGATTATTGCATCCATCCTTCTGTCCATCCATCTGTCTGCCTTTTGATAATTTGAGATTTTATTATTTGTTTTCAAGACTAGTTGGACTTATACTGAAAATGAGGGTAATGCCCGTTTCTGGAAAAGAACTCCAAAACCGTTGAAGATTACTGAATGAAATTTGCTTTATAAATCAGTCTTATGGTGAACTGGTGCCTTTTGGTGATTTGGGATATTGAAAAATACTGAACAGCATCATTTTTTTCTTCACTGAAATGAAGGTTTCCATGGCAATGTACCAAAAGTGGGGTATAAGTAGGGAAGCTCCTTTTCAGTGTAGCATCAGACCAGGGGGGGGATATGGTATCACGTGATGACTCTTGTCAATATGTGTCTCGATATTGTAGTTAGTGCTTTCAGTGTAACTGAGACATTGTCTCTCTGTGATGGGACACGGTGCTTTATGTCTCATTCAAAATGTGTGAATGTCTTTATCTAGAAATTTGAATGCTTCTGCAACCAAGTAGTAGTTATATTACTGACCTTGTTTTGACCTCTCAATCTTTAAACAGATATCTCTGTAACCGTGGTTGTGTTGGCCGATAGTAGAGTAGGCGATCTACTTGCCAAATAATCACAAACAGCTGTGGGGGGTGAGGCTGATGACGTTTATTTTATTGGTAGGTACGAATGTACGTACGTACTAAATTCAGCCAGATAGGTGAAACCTGTACTGGTAATACCGGTAACAATGATTGCACGGTGAACATTGCCACTGACAAATCTTAAGTATGAATATATTCCTTCACATATCCAAATCCTCACATGATAAGAAATGAATGCGACAATAAATCTTGCTGAGTATGTGGTCTTTCCTCGTGAGATGAAAGTAGCAACTAAACATTTCTGTAGCAATGGCCAGCTTGGCCTATCAACAAGACAATATACTGGGCGCGCTGGGGCAAAGAGTGCTGTTAGTCAAAAGCATGTACTGTGACAATTAGTGGAAGTTAGACTGAGAGTAAGCTTACTTCATGTGACAGAGCTATGGAATGAATGTTTGAGGTATTAAATACTAAGGTATAAAACATAACTAATATTATAACTAATAATATATTCTTATAATTTAAATATCGTAATAAACTAATTAGTTAAAATGGTAACAAGGCCATATAACCTTACTACTAACTAATAAATCTTAACTAAAAGTTATTGAGCCTGCCACATCTCCTTTCCGGTTTACCTGACAGGTGTCACTGCTAGCCCAGTCTATGGTGCCACAATTTGCTGTGTCGAGTTGCATCCCTTAAGCATGCCAGAAACTTATGATATCTGTGGGTTGGAATCTCTGATTATGTTTCTAGGTTGTCAGCTTGTGGGTTTCACCAGAGTGGTGAGACAAACATCAACTCAATCTGTCCTCCCACACCATCACACAACTGTAATACTGTTAAAAGCGGCATTAAACCCATCTCACACTCACTCACTTTGACTTGACATAACATAGTCTTTGCATATGCCCAGTGTCAAACGGTAAATTTGATTACCCACCAAGTCTCACTAAAGCACTTCCCATCAAGCCACAAACTCACTCTCATCAACATTCATTTCAAAAAGTAAAATGAAATATTTTGCCTTGAAAATGACAGTTGAAAGCCTTGAAAAGGCCTTGAATTTTTAGTGTTCCATATCTGTATGAACCATGTTATAGTATTGAGAACTAAAGTTGGATACAGAATGTGGTCATTTTATCACAATACATAGCTGAAGAAGTCATTTGTTACCATTAGCAAATACTGTATTCGACGTAATAAGCGCTCAGGGCGTTCTCAAAATTAGAAATAGGGGGCTCTTATTAGAATATTACTTTGGTGAAAAAAAACAGGGTTGAAAGATAAATTTCGTGGTTTTTGCTGACAGCCTGAAATGTTTATGGTCGCCAGATATATTTTTCCAGAATTTAATTGCCCATAATTAAGGGTGCATATAACACACGGGTGCGTATTATACGTGAAAAAAAAAGTCTTGTGTACATTTATCAATCGGTAGGGTGCCAATTGGGATTGTTCACTTGCCAATATATTAGCAAATATCGCTGTGGGCGCTTATTAGAGCGGGGCGCTTATTACGTCGAATACGGTATGTGAACTGCTAACATAGGTGTATGACTTTGAATATTCATATACCAGGTAGGTCTGGGACGGGTAACTCAGGTACTCACAGGACTACCCGGATCCGTAGTAAGTCACGTGATGTATTGTTTAATGACAAAATATATCTCAAACTCTATGGTAACACTACAAGTCACTAATGTTCCCATTTCTTTCTGACTATGCACCCATTCCTTCTGACTTTTATATGTTTGAATAAGGATAAACTTCATGCTGTAAACTTCAGTGTATGCTTGACCAGATCGGTTTACACGTGTATCTAAATACATTTTGCCACGGCTACGGTCAAACTTTTCCAAATCAGACAGTTTGTACCTATCTCTAAATATCTATTACCCGGGTAGGGTTGGGTAATAGGGAAGTAAATTTGGACTTGTCCCAGCCCTAATACCAGTTGACTTACAGAAGATGTTTTTTTTGTTTTTTTCAGATCGTCTATCAACCAAAATATACTGGCTATATGCATATCTACATTAGTTATAATTGTCTTGGCATTATTAGCTGCAGTCATATACATGTACAAGCTTCGGAAAAGGAAATTGTCTTGTCAAAATACAGGTAAGTAGGGTACCACCAACTCCCCCCTTTTACACAATTTGGCTGACTATACACATATTGGTTGACAATACACCAAGTGGATGACTGAAGACAAATTGTCTGACTTGACAACAATTAGCTGACTATACTCCAATTGGCCATCTTTGCAAGGCAAGGGAGTTGACTGACTAAAACTCCAATTTCCACAATAAGTTATATTACTATAAGTTATATTCTTTATCCCCGGAATGGATTGTTTTCATGATATAACTATTAGCACACATGCAGCTCTCTTCGTTAATTAATAATCATGATTTTGTTCAAGTGACAGACTTTGGGCCCATTTTATTTAATGTGGCAAACGTCATCTTCTCTCATTGATACCGTGATTCTCAAATACTCCTGAATCTGTCATTTCCAGAAATAAACCGTTTGATTCTCCTGTTCTCAACATTCTCAACAAATTGACAATATCTTATTATCTCACCTGATGTGTGTACAGTAAATCTTGCATTTTAACTTCCATTGAATGACAGTTTCATTTGTGTTTTGATTCAGCTCAACCAAGCGACAGCAATGAATCTCTTATGCAGGATCAAGGTAAATGAAAGTAGTGGAACCTCATTAATACAGATATAAACCCATGCTTGTTTCCCCATGGGGATTCCGTGTTAGAATATAGGTCCCCAGCAACCTATGCTTATCTCTCTGTGGGGATTGTGAGTCAGAATATAGGTCCCCAGCAACCCATGCTTGTCTCCCTGTGGGGATTCCAGGTCAGAATATAGGTCCCCAGCAACCCAGGCTTGTTTCCCCGTGGGGATTCCAGGTCAGAATATAGGTCCCCAGCAACCCAGGCTTGTCTCCCTGTGGGGATTCCAGGTCAGAATATAGGTCCCCAGCAACCCAGGCTTGTCTCCCTGTGGGGATTCCAGGTCAGAATATAGGTACCCAGCAACCCAGGCTTGTCTCCCTGTGGGGATTCAGGGTCAGAATATAGGTCCCCAGCAACCCAGGCTTGTCTCCCTGTGGGGATTCCAGGTCAGAATATAGGTATTCTGCAACCCATGCTTGTCTCCCTGTGGGGATTCCAGGTCAGAATATAGGTCCCCTGCAACCCATGCTTGTCTCCCTGTGGGGATTCCAGGTCAGAATATAGGTCCCCAGCAACCCATGCTTGTCTCCCTGTGGGGATTCCAGGTCAGAATATAGGTACCCTGCAACCCATGCTTGTCTCCCTGTGGGGATTCCAGGTCAGAATATAGGTCCCCAGCAACCCATGCTTGTCTCCCTGTGGGGATTCCAGGTCAGAATATAGGTACCCAGCAACCCAGGCTTGTCTCCCCGTGGGGATTCCAGGTCAGAATATAGGTCCCCAGCAACCCAGGCTTGTCTCCCTGTGGGGATTCCAGGTCAGAATATAGGTACCCTGCAACCCATGCTTGTCTCTCTGTGGGGATTCCAGGTTAGAATATAGGTCCCCAGCAACCCATGCTTGTCTCCCTGTGGGGATTCCAGGTCAGAATATAGGTACCCTGCAACCCATGCTTGTCTCTCTGTGGGGATTCCAGGTCAGAATATAGGTCCCCAGCAACCCATGCTTGTCTCCCCGTGGGGATTCAGGGTCAGAATATAGGCCCCCAGCAACCCAGGCTTGTCTCCCTGTGGGGATTGTGAGTCAGAATATGGGTCCACATCAACCTATGCTTGTCTCCCCGTGGGGATTCAGGGTCAGAATATAGGTCCACATCAACCTATGCTTGTCTCCCCATGGGGATTCAGGGCCAGAATATAGGTCCCCAGTTTCTGGAGTATCCTGAATGTATATGCCACTGGTTTATTTGCAATGTGGCTGAATTAATAGATTGTAAAGTATTTTGTCTCTTGCATATTTCAGCACCTGGAAATGGGGGTGATGCGCACAACGATGATAATCCACCTCCGTATTCTTCACTAGGTTAGGCATTCGCTTTTTTTATGTTAAAAAAGATGTTTCAGACCAGCTAAAAAGTACTGTCCCTTTCACAGAACTGATTGGGTCGGATGGTAGGATTTGTAATCCCTGTTCTAAAAAAAATGGTTTTCTGTTTCCAGAGCAGAACTCCTAAACCGTTGAATATTTCTTGTTGAAACTCACTATACAGATAGATTTGGTGATTTGATGATTTGAGATTTATTTATTTTTTAGTTTTCATGACAAGTTCGACTTATACTGAACATGAGGGTCTTGCTCGTTTTGTTTCAAAACCGTTGAAAATCTACAGATGTAAAGTTATTACTCTCAGTACTTTGCGAGACGCAAACTACACATTTAACACAAAAGGAAGAAGATATATTTGATAACTGAATATGAGGGTTGTTTGAAAGGAGTTTTAATTGGTATGGGTTTTTTTCAGATGCAACTTCCCCAATCCGGGTCACTATGGAGGACGAAGAAGGACAGGGCATGGGTAAGACATGTTTCTCGTGATTCCAGATGGGACTGGGTTAAATGTGCAGTGTGTCTTGACTTGAGAATTGTGGAAAGTTATCCAAGAGTATCTCCTTCTGTAGTTACATTTTCATGGTACTTATAATTTCTCTTTCTTTCTTTCTCTCGTTCTTTCTTTCTTTCTTTCTTGCCTTCTTTCTTTCTTTCTTGCTTTCTCTCTTTCTTTCTCTCTTTCTTTCTTGCTTTCTCTCTTCCTTTCTTTTTTTCTTTGTTTGCTTCTTTCTTTCTCTTTCTTGCTTTCTTTCTTTCTCTCTTTCTTGCTTTCTTTCTCTTTCTTTCTTTCTTGCTTTCTCTCTTTCTTTCTTTCTTTGTTTGTTTGATACTTAACACCCACTCAGCAATATTCAATCTATATGATGGCGCTCCGTAAATAATTTGGTTGGGACCAGACAATCCACTGATTGATATTATGAGCATCAATCCATGCAATTGGGATACGATAACATGCATCAAGCAAGTCAGAGAGCACCCGATCCTATTAGTCGCCTCTTACGACAAGCATTGTCGCTTTGTATGGCAAGCATTGTTTGCTGAAGACCTACTTCTCCCCTTGATCTTCATGGGTCTTTTTTTTAGGGGAATTAATCCAATGGAATGATACATTTACACTGGCAATATTTGTCCCATATGGAACAGGTAATCTTTAACACAGTTTCGGTGATTAAAAGTGACTGCTCGTCACACCAAAGTGCCGAGTTCGATTGACCATGGGCACAATGTGTGAAGCCCATTTCTGGTGTTCCCCGCCATGATATTGCATGAATATTTCTAAAAGCTGTGTAAAACCAAACTCACTCACAGTTAGTCCCAGGGTCTGATTCTAATCTTTCAGCTGGTCCAATTACCTAAATTTGTGATAATTAATCCAGATCTAGGCTGATTTGTCGCTGGGACAATACACACAGTCCTGATACATGCCACAAGGTCAAGGTCATGAAATGTGAAGAACACTAACTGATGGTCATGAAGGGTGAAAACTCTATTTGATCCACAGTCAGAAATTTAACAAACACTGAATAGTGGAAAGATCTGATGAAATATATTGATTAACTGTGCACAGTGTTACAAGTCAATTCCCAAATCGAAACAATATGTTAACCTAGAACTCAGTAGGTTAAAGAACTTAGTGTGTAGCCAACAAATGTTATACAATCTTTAATTGTATTACAAAATTAACTAGGTTTACAAATTACTACAAATTACTACAAATTACTACACTGCAATTACATTGGCAGTACACAATAGAGTGCACCCGTAAAGATTCCGGGATAGAATAGGTCTTCAGCAACCAATTCTTGCCGTAAAAGGCAACTAACGGGATCAAATTGTCAGGCTGACTTGGTTGATACATGTCATCGATCCCAATTGCGTAGATCGATGCTCATGATGTCAATCACTGGATTGTCTGGTCAAGACTTGATTATTTTACAGACCGCCGTCATATAACTGGAATATTGCTGAGTGCGGCGTTAAACAACAAACAAACAAAAACAATAGAGTGATAGTACAATATTCAATGGCAATAAATAATGTAATGGCAGTGGTCAGTATGAAATGCAAAAATACAGTGGTGATAGCTAATGATAATAAAATATATTCACCCAGCGATGACAGTGGTCAAGCTTCCATGATGGACTCAGCAGGGAATCAGGGATGATGAGCGATCCTCACATTAAAGCTGGTCTTGACATAATGAAAATGTGTGTGTCTGCCATGTAAAACACACTAGTGTCCCCTTATGTACCGTCCAACTAACTTCCAGAACTTTCCTGACAGTGCTATAAGGCTCTGTACAATGCTGGAGTAACCACACCACTCTAGCATCTAAATATAGTAACTTACTGACGACTGCTTACATTAACTAGTACTACATTCCTATTGACTAATCACTGCTCAAATACAATGCAATGAGCATCTACCGAATCTTAACAGAAACAATGTAACGCAGTTACGATCACTGTTGGGGCTGTCAGGTAGCCGAGTGGTAAAAGGATTCGCTCGTCATGCTGAGGCCCCAGGTTCGATTCCAGACATGAATACAATGTGTGAAACCCATTTCTGGTGTCCCCTGATGTGATATTGCTGGAATATTGCTCAAAACGGCGTAAAAATAAAACTCACTCACTCACAATAGCCACACGACCAGTAACATATAAATATTAAGTTTAACACTATACTTGTAGTGTATTGTGTTGTATAAATGAGGGCTCTACAATTTAATGGTTGTTTTTCATGATGCTTCCATACATCAGGATTATGCTTGCCATAAAAGGCGACTATGCTTGTCGTACAAGGCGACTAACGGGATCGGGTGGTCAGGCTTGCTGACTTGGTTGATGCATGTCATCGATCCCAATTGCGTGGATCGATGCTCATGATATCATTCACTGGATTGTCTGGTCCAGACTCGATTATTTACAGACCGCCGTCATATAGCTGGAATATTGCTGATGGGGGCGTTAAACAACGCCCCCATCAACCAACCATATATCAGTGACTTGTTCCACTCATAGCTTACATCTAGAGTGAGTGAGTTGTGTTTAACACCGCTTTGAACAGTATTACAGTTAAATGTCAACTTAATGTTGGAGAAAAGCCTGAAGTGATGCAGGTCTGATGTTTACCACTTTAGTGAAACCCACGAGCAAAGTGTGGTGTTAACAAACTTAGAAAAATAATCAGGACAAATATGGAATTCGAACCCATGATCATAGGTTTCTGACACAGGGAAGCAACTCTGGGAAGCAAATAAGGAAATGAGTTAAGGTCAACGTGGGATAAGAAGCACAACTCTTTTGATGTGTCATTAAAAGCACCATTTGTAGGAATGAGTGCTGTCCGTCCGTCTGTTTCATTCTTCTGTACTTATGCTTTAATTCCGGAGCATAACTCGGAAATTGTTTGATATTTTATTACGAAACTTTGCATTTGTATCAAACACATGCTGAACTGGTGCCTTTTGCTGTTTCTATGGCAATAGTTGAACTTAATCTATGAACTTATCATGCTATTTTGGATTTTCTGAAAAAAAGGTGGAATACACAGGATTGTGTGAGAACCATTACAATAATTACCTAATTGAGATACCGCTTGACAAAGGATTTTGTTCAAGGTTTATGGTGGATTATAGTTAAAAATAAATAAATTTGCTAGCAGCACTCGAACAAGCCAACTTCCATGCAGTGGGTTTCATATATTTTTAGTGCTTGCAGTTAGGCCATTTACAAAAAGTTCCAGTGACATAGTTACCGTGACATTATTATGTTGGTAGGGGATATGAGTATTTTATGATTGTTTCTTTTCTAGATTTTTCTTTAATTTCGCTCACCATCCTATGATCACGAATACTTTTTATAAATTATTCAAAATCTGTGTTCCAGCCCGACCTTTTACAGGGGACTTTTCCACAGACCAGGCCAGTGGTGGCAACAAGGCCAGCAGCGTCTCTCCACCGGAACCAGAAGGGGTGGCCACGACCCCTGCAGTGGTCTCTTCCCACAGACAGGATAGTCATGAGACTGTCAGAAAGGAGTATGAAAGTATGTCAAACAACATTGATTCCGAACAGTGTGTTTATGGTTCATTTGTGATAGTACTTTATTCAGGCTTCAATCAACTAAGGCATCTAGGACTTATTAAAGATTATTTTGAACTTAAGAAGTATGTTTCAGCTGTAAAATGTAAAGATCATAGATTAGCTTTAACCAGAGACCATATAATAGAGGGAAGGCCCTCCCCAACAGTTTATCATAAACCATCAGCGCTACGGTCTGGCATGTAACTGATACACCCTGACACCCTGCTGTTAACCTCTCTGTACCGCTGCAGATGCGCAATAGATGCGCAGACATTCACGACTGACCATTCTGGTAACCACGTAAACAATATTACATAATATCCGGGGTAAGAGTTAATTCCCTTAGCCGAGATTTCTCCGACTACGACCAGCGACAATCCAATAAAAGGACGTCTCTTAGCGGATTACAAAGATTTTTTATGATATCTCTCATCAGCACATGTCAGTTGGCTGCAAATTGGTTGCTGAACATGTGTGTCTTCCGGGACATTTATTTCAATTTACATTCGCCACAGCCATGGACGACTTCATTCACTGGGACGATTTCGTCTTGGACCTAGATATGCCACTTGAAGAATTCCCTCTTTTCGACCAGGGGTTGGTTTCGGATGACTCTTGGTCCAAATAGAATGACAGTGATGTTACCGCTACCAAGCCGTTGGTAAATACCTCCCAAAAGGTTTCACTCAAAGAAAAAGATAGGAAATGAAAATATGACGTCTGTCCACAAGCGTAAGTTTTCGGGGGCGTGTGAAGGAAAAGCCGTTCCGAAATCAAAAGTATTTTATAATGTATTCTATTTGTTTTAAAAATCAGGTAATATATCTCATTTTATGCTGCAATTGCTAACTATTATAAATAAACAAATATACCAAATCTACTACGAACGCCACAGAAAACTCTGTCCGGTAAATTGCACAGGAACTCAGGAAGTGTAAATAAAACTCATCCAGAAGCAAGGAAGACACTTGTAACATATCACCATATTCCCGATGTTCACAAAATATATCTCCAGATTAACTTTATATCTTATAATAAGTCCAGACTAGATTTACTTGCAAAAATGCATGGTCACCGACTGGTGTAAATGCTTTACTATTAGCCAGAAACAAATGACGCCATATTAATGTTTTTATTTCATGTAAATTCGCTACTATTTTGTAATGCTAATAGTTCCAATGAATTAAAAATACACATTAAACTACGAGCGTTGTTCAATGAATTTTTGATGTGTCCGACACTGTGCTTCGAAGGAATCAAACGTTATTGGTTAATGCCAGTTTGGGGCTAGCAGTGATATTGGGGTTTGCCGGAGCGAGATAAGTGTTTTTTCAAAGGGAGGCTACTGTTAAATTCCAAAGCAAAGAGGACGATTGTAATTTTACAATCGTTATTTAATATTAACCGATTATTTTGATATTTCAGCATACAAAAAATAAAAGTTATTTCAGCTAACAATATAGCTTCAACGAGCATGGTACCAGATATATACTAGTATATCGTAAACTGTAGTAACGTTTGTAGTTTTCAAAATTGTTTCATAATAGTTTTCTATTTATATCTAATCAATGAAAAACAAACTTTAAACTCTAACCTTGAACGAGGCATGCAACTTTACTATTAAAACAAAACAGGACATCACAAACTCGGACATATGTAAATGTATTTTTAATTGAAAAGGACAATAGACTACCGTATTCGACGTAATAAGCGCCCACGGCGATATTTGCTAACATATTGCCTAGTGAACAATCCCAATTAGCACCCCTTCCGATTGATCAATGTACACAAAACTTATTTATTCGCGTATAATACGCACTCGTGCCTTACATGCACCCTTAATTATGGGCAATTAAATTCTGGAAAAATATATCTGTCGTATATAAACATTTCAGGCTGTCAGCATAAACCACGAAATTTATCCTTTAACTCTGTTTTATTTCACCAAAATAATATTCTAATAACAGCCCCCTATTTCTAATTTTGAGAGTGCCCTGGGCGCTTATTACGTCGAATACGGTATTTATTTTTACTGCCGATATAATCCTTTTTCTTTCTTGGCATTTACAAAGCAAATGATAATTTTATGATACAAATATTTCATGTAACGGATTTTTATTTTTGTATGATGTTTTCATTGTTGTGTAAATACACAAAGTAAGTAGTACCTTCATCATATTTACATTATTATGATTGGGTTTAGCCCCATATCATGTAGCTCATAATCAATATTTACACGGCATAAAATAAATAATTGATCAAATGTAGTTATGATTAATACAGACAAAATCTACAGAAGATAACAAATATGTAGTATTGTAGTATGTAGTATATGCGCGATATGTGATAGAAGCCTAACTGAAACAAAGTTAAACTTACGAAGAAATGGCGAAGTCAAAAGTAAAAAAAATACGCATCTTACAAAAACAATTCTAATATCATACAATATAAGTCACTTTGTAGAATGTTTCAAACGATATATGTGGTTGATAATCACAGACAAAATGCATAATATGTCGTCTGCTATATGGTAATTTAACTTAAAATATGTGACGTAAAATATGGCCTTGCGCCAAAAATCATACAAAAAAACCTACTGATCGTACCTTAGTAACTTTGGTACCAAGCCAAAGGGGAAATCGTGATGAATGTAAAACGTTTTAATTCAGGACCAATAATAGGAACACATTCGTCTGAAAGCATGCGAAAATTAAGAGTTGGGGTGTAATTATTTCGGGAAAATTCAGATTTAGTCCCATTTCTGGAGTCAAAATCTAAAATTTCGCATCCGCCCTAAATTTGTTAATGGCACCAAGCCAATTTTTAAGATATCTCCTTTTTATACACCAAGGACTTTCATTGCGAATTAGAGGCCATTATTGAAAATCAAAATCTGCACTTTTGCCGATTTTACATGTGCGCCATTTTGTTCTCTCGGACAAAGACAAAGCGTGATCACAGTCATCAAATACAGTGACACTGACATGCTTTAGGGCACCAACAAATCTCAGTTGTAATGTTAACAATGTTCCGAAATACATGAATGTAAATATGTATTGTGAAATATATCTTTTGCATGGGAAAAAAAGGCGACAACGATGACTGCAGTGAACGCGTTTCTGCTCGCTTCCGAACAGGCTGCGCAGTACAAGCCGTAGCACTGATGGTTTCGCGCATAGGCTAGAGGGACGTCCCTCTATTATATAGTCTCTGCTTTAACCAAATTAAGACTCAGTTGCCATAATCTGGAGATTGAAAGAGGCCGATACACTAACATGCCTGTCGACCAGAGAATATGTAAATTATGTAACCTAAATAAGATAGAAGATGAAAAACACTTCCTTTCGTACTGTCCAAATAATCAGAATGAAAGTCAGATACTTCTTCGAACACTAGACTTACAAAACTGCCAAAATGATAATAAAATCTTAGCAAACATCCTGAACCCCTGTCCTGAAAAAGAAAAATATGTTTCACAAATTACCTCCGACATGTTTATTATAAGAACCTCTCTTATAGACAACATCTAGATATGACCTCATGATTATTATGTCTTATCAATACAGTATCTGCATGATTAAAGTACACGCTGCCAGCCACCTCATGATATATACCGGTATATATAAATGTTTATACACTATGAATGAAAATAATATGTAATATTTATATATATTATGTTCATTATATATATCTACCTTTCATGTTTATAGTTATATTTATTCCCATATGTAGATAGTTTGTACCCTGCCCTGCAAGGGTGTTCTGTACAATAAATATTCTTGATTCTTGATTCTTGATCAAGTATGCACATGTGTTTCCATGAAGGGATGCAACCAGGGCCCTGACAGGTACCTGAGTACTCCAGGAGGCTTAGGGTTCCGTTCATTGGACCCGAAGGGGGGTAAGGGTGGCCCAGTAGTCTTAAGACGCCACGATTCGCTTTGCAGTGTTGCGTCCCTTGGTCACACCTGAAACCAATGATGGTTGCCCCGATTATGTTTCTAGGTTTGTCAGCACCATACCCGTGCTCATGGGTTTCACCGAAGTAGCAAACGTCAGAGATCTGCATCACTTCGGGCTTTCCTCCCACATTAAGCTGACATGCCGTGATATAACTTTTAAATCGGCGTTAAACCCAGCTCGCTCGCTCGCTCGCTCCCTCACTCCCTCGCTCCCTCACTCCCTCCCTCACTCACTCCCTCCCTCCCTCACTCACTCACTCACTCACTCACTCACTCACTCACTCACTCACTCACTCACTCACTCACTCACTCACTCACTCACTCACTCACTCACTGGACCGAGTCGTGGTCAAGGAGTAACCACAATCCCTACCAGCGTGTGACATCTTCGTTACTCTCCCGGTATCATCGCTGCCACCAATGTGTCAACGGCCATTACAAGTATTTTGAACATTTTACCTCTAACCCCAAGTGTATATTTTTGTATATGTCTGCGGAATGTTATAATTGTTTCATTGGGAAAGGGTAGGTTACTCTATTTCCCAGATTTTGTTTGTTTGTTTCATCAGAATGGTTCCGAGATTACAAACTAATGGAAAAAGCATATATTCCAACTAAAACTAATTACATGATAGTTCAAATGAAATAGAAATTCAAATGGACAAACAAACAAAGTGAGGTGAAATGGGGTTTAATGTCGCCTCCAAGACTATTGCACTTATATAGCGATGTGCATGCACGTGTGTGTGTTTGTGTGACTGCTTGTACTAGTCCGGACTGATGCCGATTTATAGTGCTAGCTCACTGAGATACCATGCCGCAGTTAACATGAACACCCCACTCAGACACAGTATACTGACTCCGAGCCGACCAGTCCTTGTTTTAGCCCCTTAATGCTTAGCGCCAGACAGGGTAACAACAAGTACCATCTTTAAACGTCTTTTGGTATGACGTGGTCGGGGATCGAACCCCGGACCTTCCGCTCTCCAGGCAGACGCTCTACCACTGGACCACGGAGGCGGTCACAAACAAACAAAAGAATTAAACTGTTGGGTAGAATATTCATGTGAGTTCAACTCCATTTTGGCTGTGGCCCCCTAGCACAATGTGGAGCTGCGACTGGTGGTAGTGATGGTGTTGAGAGTTCGGAGAATGGGCTTATAATCGCTGTGAGGAGCTTGGGGAAGTACCTGATCAGGGGAGATAACTCACGCTCACTTCTTGAACATTCCTGTTGCAGACATGGAAGAAACATGGTAGAGTGTCAGAGATTTTAACTAAGGAAAAAGACAAAATGTCGATATTCGATGTAACTGTTGAATCCAGATTAGGTTTTTGAGTGCTGAACTTGCCCTAGTTGGAGGAGCTGTCTGGGATCTGGTTAATGTGTCATAGGGAAAGGGTTAGAAACGGAAAATAGTAACTTCTGATTTCAGTTGGCGTCACTGTTCCAAATAAACCCTTTCTTGTTTCTCCTGGAATTTTATCTTTGGCACAGATTTCTCTGTAAGTTACTGTAGATGTTTGCACCAAAATAAGGTTGATGTGTCAAAATGATTTCTTCATTATTTAGTTGATCTTCAAAGTCTTGTGGCTCTATTTTTTAAGGATATCCAGCATTTCCTCAAAGAAGATTTTTGGGGGATATAACCTGTGAAGAATCTTCTCCCCGCTCCCCCTTTTTGAAAACTGGACCCAATAATGAGTTTTGTATGGTGTCATAATGCTGTTAGCAATCCATGCTTTCCCTAACAGGCGACTGTGCTTGTCTAAAGAGGTGACTAACGGGATCAGGTGGTCAGACTCGCTGACTTGGTTGAGGCAAGTCATTGATCTCAATTCCGTGGATCAATGCTCATGATGTCAATCACTGGATTGTCTGGTCCAGACTCGATTATTTACAGACCGCCGTCGTATAATTTGAATATTGCTGAGTGCAGCGTTAAACAACAAACAGACAAACAAACATATGCTGTTACAGTATTCCAGCAATATCACCACAGGGACCACAGAAATGGGCTCCACACATTGTACCCACGTGGAGAATAGAACCCCAGGCATGATGGGAACACTTTCCACTGGGCCACCCTGAACCATGGTTATCAGTAATGACAACACTGAGCCTAACGTTGGAAGCATTTCTTCTATTCACAGCCTCACCTTTACCACCGGAGACACCTGATGTATCTTTCCCAACACTAGAGTCCGCAGAGCAGGCCGACCCAGTAGCGTCTGAACACAGCAAGGATGCCGATCACACATCCGTGAAGAAGAGGTACTCGTCAAACATGGAAGGTAAAGCCGTCCAACATTTCTGTGACTTTAATGCATTTTGTCTGAAATCTGAAATGTCCTTTTTTCTCAACATGGTCAATTAATGAATAAAAAGTGATTCAGTATCTAACCCATTAAAACATTTTTATCCCCCACTACGAAGTGGAACGGAGTTCGTCCATCCACTCATCCGCTTCTCAAAGAAGACAAACTTTCTAAAAGATCATATAAGTTTGAGAATGAAATTTTTCGTACAGATCTTACTGGTCATGATCTGAAACGAGTGGGAGAATTGTGGTCTTCAATTCTTTTTTTACAGAGTTATGGCCCTTGCTCTGTGCTTTTCCACTTAGTGCATACTGCGTGAAATGGGGACAGGTTTTCTCAGAAACTACTGAAGTTACATGAATGAAAGTTTGCATGCTTAGCTATGAGAAACTTGTCAAGACTGAGTTCGAATAGTGCAGCCGTAAATTATTTCTTTTACAGAGTTATGGCCCTTGCTCCGTGTTTTCAAATGAGTGCATAGTGTCTGCAATAGGGACAAGTTTTCTCAGAAACTACCGACATTAGATGAATGAAACTTTGCATGCTTACCTATGAGATACCTATAAAATTGGTCCTGTAATTGTATTTTTCCAGAGTTACTTCCCTTGCTATGTTTTTAGATTTTGAGCAAACACAGTTAAGGCCTTTGATCCATGTTATTTTACTGATTGCGTAGTGTCTGCAGTGGGGACAAGTTTTCTCAGAAAGTACTGAAGTTAGCTTATCTAAGATGTACTTATAAAGACTGAGTTGAGAATTGGTGCCATAAATACTTTTTTCCAGGCCTTTTGTGTTTATTAATTTCACATTTAATTATTTTTTTCTGATGACATAAAGCAACCCCAGTGCTTAGCCCTTCTTAAGGCTTTATAGGACACTTTCTGTCGTTTATATTCACGACAATATGAACAAACAAAATTCTAATGTTGTCCATGGCGGGGTATAGTGATGACGCTGTTTTCTTGTTTCATTTTACAGAGGTCTCTAGTGAAAACGAAAAGGCAGAAAACGTGGAGTCTCTTCCTTTGCTGGAATCAGCCCCATCTCTGAAATTAGACAGTTTCAAGTCATAGCATGAGAAATAGACAAGACTTACCTTGAGGAAGAAGACCCTGGTTTTACAGGAAAATGTTTTTGTCTATAGCAAGAATGTGCTTGTGAACAAGCAGGTCCACAAATTGTTTGTGGCTCGAGAAACATAACATTTTGTGAATTCTATTCAGTGACCAAAGAATAGATTCAAAGACGTCAAGACATGGATGTTGGAACAGTTCTGTGGACATTGAATAAGTGTTTGCTGCCAGAGAGCTCTTGGAAAACTTCCGTATCGATACTGAACTCCCTTGATGAAAGAGAACTGTCGCTTGTGTTAACTTCGGTTACAACTTGAATACAATAAACATTTATATGTGATTCACATTCTGTATTGCACTCACTCACTCACTCACTCACTCAAGCTGTCTCACTCACTCACTCAAGCTCTGTCTCACTCACTCACTCACGCTCTGTCTCACTCACTCACTCACGCTCTGTAACTCAGCCACACACTCGTCCTCTCACTCACTCACTCACTCACTCATATGATACCACATTTGCAACATCATTCTGTGATATATATATAAATATATTTGTTTGACATTTATACTCATATTGGTTTTACAAATTATTGATTGTAGTGCAATTCTTTATCTACAGTGTTTATTAAAATATATATATTTTTATAGTATGAATTTTTATTCATCTCATTGTTACAAATTAATTCTTAAATTATCAATTGGGGAACAGTACTTTTCAAAATTTCACTGCTCATCAAAACTTACTTTTTTATCTTCTTACTTATCTTCTTACTTAACCTGATGAACTTGACTGTCATACTCTCTCCTTGGTGCCTCTTTTTCTGCAGACCGCCTCCGTGGTCTAGAGGTAGAGAGTCCACCCGGAGAGCGGAAGGTCCGGGGTTCGATCCCCGGCCGCGTCATACCAAAAGACGTTAAAATATGGAACTTGTTGTCTGGCGCTCGGCATAAAGGGGCTAAAATAAGGACTGGTCGGCTCGGAGTCAGTATACTGTGTCTGAGTGGGGTATACATGTTAAACTGCGGCATGGTATCTCAGTGGGCTAGCACTATCAATCGGCATCAGTCCGGACTAATACAAGCAGCCACACACACACACGTGCATGCACATCGCTATATAAGTGCAATAATCTTGGACGCGACGTTAAACCCAATTTCACCCCCTCTTTTTCTGCACTGCTGCTTCTGTCTCTCCTTCATAAATGTGGATGTCTCTTTTCTGTGAACCACTCACAGATTCACCATCAGTATTTTGTCTTGTGTGTTTCTTCATCTTGTATGCCATTTCCTGACTCCATCAGTCCTAGCAGATCTTACTCATCTGCTTGAAATACATGTATATACATTCCATTAGTGACTTGTACTGCAGCCTTGGAAATTCTGCTTTTTTTTTTAAAAGTTACTCCATTATGTATGTAAACCCATTCTTGTTTGGTACATGGATGGTATCAGACACTGTAAGTAATGTGTCTTTGGTTGTGTAGTGTCCAGGAACTGGGACCGGCATGGAACTCGTAGCAAGACGTGAGGACGTAGCTCGGGGTCAAGGCGTACAAGATGCTTACCATCAGAGAAAGTTGTCTGTGTGACAGTGGGGGACAAGGGTGGCCCAGTTGTCTAAGGCGCCGTGATTCTCTGTGCAGAGCTGCGTCCCTTGGGCACGCCAGAAACCTATGATTGTGGGTTCGAATCCCGGTTCTAGGTTTGTCAGCAGCATACCCGTGCTCGTGGGTTTCACTGAAGTGGTAAACGTCTGAGACCTGCATCACTTCGGGCTTCCCTCCCACATTAAGCTGACACGCCGTGATATAACTGGAATACTGTTTAAAGCGGCATTGAACCAGACTCACTCACTCACTCACTGTGTGACAGTGTCAAGTGAGACACGTGTAATATGTAACGTCTGGAGGTGAACTGTGGTTCGGGACAAGTGAACCTTTGTGTATACATGAACTGTACATGTGTTGAGGTATTTGCTACAGCTACATGTGAACTTATTCACTTCCGTAGCAAAATCATGAGCAGATGAATATAATTGCATTGATATATTTGCATTGTGCTTGAATGTTGTCATGTTATTGTAGCAGGATGTGGAGCCATACCACAGATGACATCCTTACCATGTCAGATTGCTGACGGGGTTAACCTCTTTGGTCATGTGGACAAGGCGTCCAGCCTCTGATCAGAAGGTCCGTGGTTCGAATACCATCACGGGACTTGGAAATTTTATGGCCGCTGCATTGGCGCCCAACGTGGGGCTGAGCACGTTCATATTAAATTTAAGCAAAATAAGCCTCAGTACCCTACTATGCGGCCCGGGACGTGCCTTCTGTTGACGGGGGAGTATGTAGCAGGGCGTGGAGTCATCCCACAGATGACATCCTTACCTTGTCAGCTTGCTGACGGGGTTAACCTCTTTGGTCATGTGGACAAGGTATCCGGCCTCTGATCAGAATACCATCACGGGACTAGGAAATTTTATGGTCGCTACATTATGATTATTATGTATTTGTATGGTGTAATAGATCATCAATGGGGAAGAAGGAGTTGAGAAATTTGGAAACAGTATGAGCGAGTTGTGTGAGCAGTGCATGATAGTAGAATATTTGGGAAATTGTTTGAATTTAATATATATTTGATAACATGCTGCCAATAAATACTCCAGTTTTATCCAAACATAGTTTGTAAGTTATATATATATGGTTGACATCAAAACACAATGAAACAGTTTGTATAATATATTCTTAACTTTTCAAAACATCTTTTCCTTGTGTTATTTGTGTTTACATAGCACCTGAAGGTGTTCTGCATCCTGAACAACATCCCACGCCATTCGAGTACAATGACATAAAGTAAACTATGTTTATAACGAACTCAAAGTGACCACCAAATTTAGGTTGTTATAACCGAAGTTCATTATAAGCATATATATAGCATATATACAACAAATGACTGGGACCAAAAAATAAGTTTGTTATATCGGTCAGTTCGTTATAAGCGTGTTCGTTATAAACATAGTTTACTGTACATCATCCAAGTCACTGAGTCTGATCGCCTTCATATGACAAGCATATGTTGCTGGAGACCGATTCTAGGCCGGAACCCCATGGTTGAAAAAAAATAATACCGTATACGACGTAATAAGTGCCTAGAGCGCTCTCAAAATAGGGGGCTCTGATTAGAATATTATTTTGCTGGAAAAAACAGTTGAAAGATAAATTTCGTGGTTTATGCTGACAGCCTGAAATGTTATATACGACAGATATATTTTTCCAGAATTTAATTGCCCATAATTTAGGGTGCATATAACACACAAGTGCGTATTATACATGAATAGATAAGTCTTGTAAACATTGATCAATCGGAAGGGGTGCTAATTGGGATCCTTCACCAGCAAATATATGAGCAATTATCTTTGTGGGTGCTTTATAGAGCGGGGCGCTTATTACGTCGAATACGGTATTAAGGAAATGGGCATACAGATTGATTATCTATGGGTAAATTTGTCAACAATCTCCAGTGACGAAACGGATGGTGTAAATCCTCTGGGGTATTATGCAGGTGGCAGAGGTTCTGAAGTCCACATGGTCCCTATATAGGAGTGAGTGAATGAGTATGATTTTACGCCATTTGGGGCAATATTCCAGTCATATCATGAAGGGGACACCAGAAATGGACTTTGCGTATTGCTAACCTTAGTCTTCACTATGACCACTAGGCTACCCGACCCTCCGACGAGGATGGAGGCATAACTTTGGTTCCTGACTGTCCGAAGTCTGAATCTTAAAATGTGCCATCTTGATGGTTAAGACATTTTAATTCTTCAACAAGTTTGTTTACAGAAAATCTGTGATATATTGCTGGTGATACTGCCCTTTGTCAACATATTTTGATGTATGACAGGGTTCGATTCCCGACATGGTTACATGGACATGGACATGTAACTGATATGGGTACAATGTGTGAAGCCCATTTCTGTTGTGCCCCGCCGTGATATTGCTGGAATATTGCAAAAAGCGGCGTAAAACCATACTCACTCACTCACTCACAATGCGGCTGGAATAGTATAACTTAAGGTTAGCTCACTCATCATAAAGATGCAAGATAAAGGATGAAGGTTTGTTTTGCATGTGATGAGTGAGTGAGTGAGTGAGTGTGGTTTTACGCCGCTTTTAGCAATATTCCAGCAATATCACGGCGGGGGTCACCAGAAATCGGCTTCACACATTGTACCCATGTCGGGAATCGAACCCGGGTCTTCGGCGTGACGAGCGAACTCTTTAACCACTAGGCTACCCGACCGCCCCTTGCATGTGATGAAGTCTCCCTAGCTTTCTGTGTTATTTCAGTGCGACAAAACACAATACAGGAATAGAGGATACATTTTTTATCAGCAACTTCAAATATTTTCAGTTAAAATCAACTTGATGCTAATGAATATATGCCTTTATGCCGCTTTAAGCAATATTCCGGCAATATCATGGTGGGGCACACCAAAAATGGGCTTCACACATTGAACCCACGTGGGGAATCGAACCATCACGTAATTGAGGATGTCATTAAGGGAGGGTCAAATCTAGTGTAATCTGCTGATTCTATGGCCTGTGGCTAGCCAAAATAATATAGGATGGCTGGTAATGAAGAAAACATTTAAAAAATGATTATATGAACTTATGCAGGATACAGAAACTTTTTAAATAGCTGGCAAAGTGGTATTTGAGGGACTTGAATCAAATTTGCTGCCAATCAGCCTGAGCCTAGTCTGCCTTTAAGGTATTTGTAATATCTGTTATAGTTTGCATATAATATAGGGTCTTTTGTATCTTATATATATGTACAGTGACTATCGGTACCAGTTTCAGTTTTTCAGTGGCATGCCTTGCCTAGTTGTTTGAAACACAGATTTACCCAGATTGTGAGTGAGTGAGTTTTGTTCCAGGTGTTTTAGACTTGATGAAACCCACAAACGTTGGAGTGCTGCTGAAAGACCAAAGGTCAAGCTGTTGATAAATTTTGTCATTCAAACCAAACACTTTCAGACCTCCCAAACAGAACTGAATCACCTGAGCCCTGAACATAACAATTAAGAGACCTTAATGACATGTGTTTTATGTCATCACTGCTCAATGACATCACTGCTTATTGTCATCACTGCTCAATGGCATCACTGCTTAATGTCATCACTGCTCAATGGCATCACTGATCTATGTCATCACTGATCTATGACATCACTGCTCAATGGCATCACTGCTCAATGGCATCACTGCTTAATGTCATCACTGGTCTATGACATCACTGCTTAATGTCAGCACTGCTCAATGGCATCACTGTTTAATGT